ATACAGCATAATAGCAAACCCAGATTACCTCCATGCAGCAAAATGACAGAGGAGTACTACACAACTTAGAAGAGTGTTCTTCCAAAATAAAGTAACACTAGACCCTTGGGCCCAACTGACTTTCAAATACAAGGGCTATAAATATAAACAAAAAGCCTGAAGCTTTTCTATAACTATCATTGTTTCTCTGAGTTCGGAGAGTTTTCAGAAGCATGTGATCTACTTAAAATATTAATATTTTTGGCAAAACTGAACTGCACCTCTGTCAAGGAAACTGCTGATGATTAGTTTATTTCATTGTAAACAAAGTTACAGCTCTTCAGAGAACTTAGTTGCATTACCTGATTCCTCAATTAAAATTGTCCATTCTGCAAAAACCTCTCTATTTTAATAGTGTTGACCAGCTTGTGCTTTAGTTCATTGCTTTTGTTTCTGTTTTTCAAAAGTTTATAGACTTCTTTACAAGGCTTATTGAATGTAAACTAATCTTCTAAGTGCTGTTTTTATCACAGTCCTTGCTAATGAGTTAGAACAGACTCAAAGCTGACTCTCAATTGAGTTTTCAGACACTGCAAATTGCATGGGAAGAGACTGTCCATTTTTCTCCCTTGGAGTTACTGATGGATTAAAATTTTTGCATTTAGGAAAACTCATATCAGATGGATCTTGTTAGAAATCACAGGATACCAGAAGAATACCTGTTTTCTTAGCCAGCAAAGCTTTTTGACTGTGCAAATAACAAAAAGCATTATGGCTAACATTAAGAAGAATATGAATCTCAGATTGCTTAATTGTCCTTCTGCAGAGCCTATACCTAGACCAAGATATTGTTTTCATACTAGAGCAAGGTACTATTGTATGGTACAAAATTAAGAAAAGTGCATCAGGGCTGTATTTTTTCTTCATGCGTTCTGAATGCTCAGAAAATCATTTGAGAATCTAAACTTAATGATGCAGAATGCCACATTAGCTTTCAATATATATTACATCTTCACGTCAAGAAAACAAAGTTCTTTACTACTGGGACACAGGCAGCAAGTATCATGATAGATGGATAAAATAATTAAATTATCAATTATTTCATCTTACTTAGATATACAACCAATATTATTTCATCTTATTTAGATGCACAACCAATAACCACAGTTAAGAAATCAAAAGATATGTTACGTTGGGAAAATTTGCTGTCAAGCATATCTCCAAACTACTATAGAGCAAGGATTCCAGTTTAAATACCAATGCGTGTTTGATCCAAGCCATGAACTTTTTAATGACTTGCTATGCATCTTAAAGTTGGACAATGATGAAGTATGGCAGAAGAAGAATCAATGACTTTGAGTTCTGGTTTTAGAGAAGAGTACCAAATATTTCATGGATTGCCAAGAGAACTAACAACTATGTCTTGAAAAATGTGTATCAGGGTAATCCTTGGGAGCAAGAGTAGTGAAGTTTTGTCTCATATATATTGGGCATGTTGTTGGAGGGGGGAATATATATCTTTAGAAAAAGATATACGCTTACAAAGATGGAGGGTCACTGTCAGAGAGGAAAACTTTTGACAAGATAGATTGACATAATGACTGTACCAGTGGGCTCAAGTATATCAAATATGATGAGGATGGTGTAGGATAGGGCAGGGTTCAGATCCATTTTGTTATAATTTACATAACTTAATGACACATAACAACAGGAAAGTATACGAGTTGAATGTGACTAAATGATGACAAGCATCACTCATTTCTGAACTCAAGTGACATGAATATTACCCATGTTCAAGATCTAATGGTAGCTTTTGAGTAGATGCAAAGAATTGGATGTCTGGTATAGAAGACACTATCAATACAGGAAATGTAAGTGACATGTCACCTATCTAGGGCAGATAATACATTTCTGAAGTTGAGAGTAGAGGGATAAAATTAATTGCTTGGGGAAGGAAGTGACAGAAGCTGGCTAAATGCAAGGAAGAAAAGAAAAAAATAGAAAGAAAAGACCACAGAGAACAACATTTCACTTTTCACTTAGGCCTTAATAGAGTGAAAATTTGAATGAATCCTCCTTACATTGTCCAACTATCTGATGCATAAGAAGTGGTTGCAAAGACCATGGCTGGTATTAGATGCACCTTAGTCTCCAGAGAGACACCCTTGCTCTTCAGTACATTGGAGAGGTCCCTAATAGCAGACTTTCCCATGGCAATATGTATTTTAATTTCCTGGCTGCTGGTGCCAAGAGTGTTGACTGTGAAGCCAAGCAACCTAAAGCTGTGAACAATCTCAATCTCATCCATCCTGATGCTGACAATTGGTGCAGTGGTGAGAATCTTTGTCTTCTTGACACTGAGCCTCAATCCATATTGGAGGCTGCAGTCCTTGACCCTCTGCAGCAAGCACTTCAGGTTCTCCTCAGTTTTAGCAAGCAGGGTTATGTCATCTGCGTAACACAGATTGTTGATAGATCTTACACCAATCTTGACCCCACATTTCTCCTCATAGAGCCCAGCCTCTCAGATAATCTGCTTTGCATACAGGTTGAAAAGGTATGGAGACAGGACACATTCCTGATGTACGCCCTTCCCAATTTTGAACCATGCAGTGTTTCCTTGCTCTATTCTTATGACTGCCTCTTGGTGTAAGTATAGGTTTCACATTAGCACAATCAAGTGTTCTGGGATTCACATTCTTCTCAGAGTCAGCCACAGTTTGTTATGATCCACACAGTCAAATGCCTTTGCATAGTCAATGAAACACAGATAGACATTCCTCTGGTATTTCCTGCTTTCAGCTAAGATCCATCTAACATTAGCTACAATATCCCTAGTACCATGACCCCTTCTACACCCAGCCTGGACTTCTGGCAGTTCTCTGCTGATGTGCTGTTCCAGTCGTTTTGGGATCATCTTCAGTAGAATATTGTTTGTATGTGAAATCAATGATATTGTTCTATAATTTTCACACTCTGTTGGGTCACTCTTCTTTGGGATGGGAACAAATATAGATCTCTTCCAGTCAGTTGGCCGAGTGGTTGTTCTCCAGATTTCTTGGCACAACTTGGTGAGCACGTCCAGGGAAACATCTGTTAGCTGAAATATGTCAATATTTTTCTAAGTATTGTACTTCTCTAAATCTAAACATTCAGATTAAGACAGACTAGGAAGAAGGACTGGCCATCCACTTCTGAAATAGCAGGCCTCTGAAAAGCCTATTTACAACAGAACACGTGCAGAATAACAGATAGGGCACCTGAGGTTGAGCTTTCAAGTATAGAAATGCAAAAGAAGAGGAAAGTTGTAAGCAGACACTAGTGGTTGGAACATGGAATGTGAGAACTATGAATGTAGGAAAATGAAATCTAGTTAAGGAAGAAATGGAACACATAAATATTGGCATACTAGGCGTTGGTGAGATGAGATGGCCTGGCAAGGGCTTTTTGAGTCGGATGATCATATGTGACTCTGGAGATGAAAAGGTGAGGAAAAATGGAGTTGCTTTCATAGTTAAGAAAGTAATTTGTATATCCATCTTGAAGTACAATATCTAGTAGATCCCTTATTTCTTTTTTTTTTCAATTTGAAGATCCCTTATTTCTAAGAGGACAAAAATTATACCACTTCAAGAAGACAAGAGGGAAGCACCAATATACAAGTACTTCAGAGAACATTACCATACCCTGTGACATTATTTAGTTACAAAAAGCTAACATCTATTAATAAAAGACTCATAGGATGTCAATAAATCTTCAGTTTGCCTCAGTAATTATGGGGGGGGGAAGCCAAAATTAACCTTTCTCCTAAAAAAGCAGATAAAATGAATACCCCAAAGAGCAAAAACTGTAAGAAATATGTTGATATGGAGTTATTTGAACAGCTACAGAAGAAGATACAAATGATGAAAGAAATAATGAAAACTGTTAAATGAGCAAATACCCCATAGTCAGTGATCCAGAAGAAACATTGATAAGGAGCAACTTGAATTGCTATGAAAGACAAAGCAAAAAATGAAGAAATAATTGATAGTATAGATAAAGTGGTACAAGAAATAGAAAAATAATCACAAGACAGAGATGGTGCAGCCAATACAGTACTAGAAAGAAAAAAAAAGCATGAAGATTCAATATAGAATATTAAGACCAAAGCGGCAGAAGTATCCAATGTTCTGGTGAAATGGAACAGAGAGTCAGTGAGATGGAAGACATGAGCCTCACTGGAAACATACTAGAAGAAAATCAGAGGTGAGAGAAAGAAAATAAAGAGACATTAGAATCATGTAGGCTGACATCAAAAGAAATAACATGTGTATAATTGGAATTCTAGAACATGGGAGTGACAGAAAAGTCACTGAGAAAATCATGGAAGGTGTACTAGATGAAAACGTCCTAGTTGTTTGTGTTTTTTTTTTTTTAAGAATGGGGAAATACACATTTAAGAAGCACAGAAAACACCAAATAGGCTAGATTCAAGAAGAAAAACATCAAGAGACATCATAAGACAGCATGAGAAAAAGAGAGTGACCTATAAAGAGGGAGAGGCAAGGGTTAAGCTGACCAAGACAGCAGCTGCCTGAGTTAAAAAAACCCAAACAAACAAAATAAGAAAACAACACTGTTTAATAAGAAAAAAAAATAAGAAAATACCTTGATAATAATAAGAAAAAACCTTGATTCTCCTGCTAACTCTGCTTTCTAGTAAAGAAGTGGTTCTGGAAACATGGAAAGTCAGCAAATAAGAAAAGAAACAGTAAAAAATCCAACAACAACACACAAAAAAACTCGACAAAATACCCCCACCAAACCCATCTTGGAGCCCAGTTAATGTATTTTACTGCTCATGTAATGAGACTTGTTAGTAAAAGCTATGAGGACATATAGGTCAGGAGAACACTCAACCGTGAGCTCCTCTTCCTTTGCCTCTACTAACTAAAGTTTTGGGTGGCTCATTCTGTTGCTCAGTACTTTCCTCTATGTCAGATAAGTGTGACATAAAGTTAAAACAAAAAGTGACATACCCGGTTGCTTTCACTCTTGGAATGGTCATTCTTTGCCTTGGCTGTCTTCTCTGCAAGTTTCTTCTGCCTTTGAGGACCTCTTCCAAAGAAAATGTAGTTGACAAATGCATACTCCAAAAGGGCCAGAAACACAAAGACAAAACAGCCCATGAGGTACATATCAATGGCTTTGACATACGGGATTTTGGGCAAGGTCTCCCGAAGATGTGTGTTGATGGTTGTCATTGTCAACACAGTTGTGATCCCTGTTAAAAAAAAAAAAGGCAGATGAGATGTAAAAAACTACATTGTTCTTCATTTTTCATTTTGGTTTTTTCTTGTCGCAGTGCTTCAAGTGAGCAAAGGTGAATGGGTCACAGAAATGCAATAGAGCATATATTTTGTCATTTTGGCGAACATTTGTGAACAGGCAGGAACATTTCTGCTTTGGTTATCATTTCCGCAGATGTTGCCAATAGAAAAAAAATGCAATGCTAAGTCTAGTTCAGCAAGAGACTGTACTATTTCTAAGAATTGGAGAAAATAAAAATAAGTGCAGTATTTAACATAAAATATGAATGTCCATAAAGAGAAATCCTCCAGGCCTATGGATGAGCAGGGACAGTCTACATCTGTACATGTGAGGACTTTAGGAATTGCTCAATAAGACTGGAGTAGTAAGAAGACAACTTCTAATATTATCCTTATGGAAAACATGAGAATTGAAGAAATATTTTCTAAAATAGCCACTAAAGATGTGATCCAGTTCTGAGCTCAGAGAAAAAGTTTAAGTGAGGTACTAGAGGGAAGATTTTTCTCACAAAGCAGACTGCTTTCCCTTATCAAGAAAGAACACTTACCTTTATAAAGCTGCAAATCTTGCATAAGACCATTATTATAAATATAGAAGGATAACTTATGAAATATTTATGTGGAGCCAAGGAGAGAAGGGTGGGAGGCGAGGGGTGAGGATGGGTAGGGGCAAATCCACAGGTTAGCACAATTTGATGGGTGGAGGGAGGAGAAGGAAATGGGAAGGATCCAGTGGGGACCTGAAAAAATTGGGTAATAATGTCCAATGATATTTGATTTTATAAAACATAATCCACGGGAATGACTGTATGAAACATAATATGAATGAAGAATAGTGTGAAACACAATGTATACAATCTTTGTCAGCAAACCAACATAAAATAAAAATGAAAAAAAAAGACAAAGCCTAAAATAAACAAACAAAAGCTACTTAGACGTTAATTATTATATACAAAGCATCATACATTTTCCTTAGTTTTTCAGTTTTTATGCTACTGTGTTGAATTTTACATCATTATGTTGAATTATTTTTTAAAATTTTATTTTACTAATTTTAATGAACATTTACAGAGATTTTGGATTTCCATTCATTCATTGTTATACTTTTTTCTCTATCTCCCCCGCCCCCCCCCAATTCCTTCCTCTCTTTGAAAAGCAAAGTTAGGAAAAGACCAATAAACAAGTGATGATCAGTCAGAAAGACCAAGGAATAAGAAGGATCCAGTGAAAGGAGGACTTATGAACAGGTTAAGTCCAATACAGGAAGAATCAATGGAGAAAGGCAGCCCAACAGACCAATGGAATGACTGAAGAAGTGAGGGTGGTGATTTCCCTGATACCATCCAGTGTGCATACGTCAACCTGGTGTCTTGTGGAGATTGTGAGCGTGCCTATCCTAACCAGATCACCCAAAACATGGTGTGTGCTGGGAATGAGATGTATGGGAGAGATTCTTGCTAGGGTGATTCTGGGGGCCCCCTGGTGTGCAGAGGCCAACTTAGAGGCGTCGTTTCATGGGGCAACATCCCTTGTGGGTCAAAGGAGAAACCAGGAGTCTACACCGACGTCTGCAGATATTATAGTTGGATCCAAAATCAGATTAATTCCAGGAGACGCTGTCATGGGCCATTCCAGTGCTGATCTCCAATCTCGTTGGCTGGCTTCAGAGTATCTGTCTACCTTCCTCATAGTCTCATAGGGGAAAAGAACACATTCTCTCTCATTTTACTCCTGCCTCATCTTTGATTCTCTAGGGTTGAGAGAAGACATGGAAAAAGAGGACTTTCCTCTAAAAGAATGTGAGAGAATTCCTTCTACAACTCTCGCTCTCTCTCCTTACTTAATCCTTGGCCTTGATTTTCTTTTCTGCTTTAACTGGCTTATTGTGACTTGAGTGAAAGTTTACAGAGTTTTCAGGTGGTAAATTGTTGAGTTGCTCCCTTCAACAATTCACACACTTTATGTTTCATGACACTGATTGCAAACCTCACAGTGTTAACAACACTTTTCCACTTCCTCCCATTTTCATTCATCCTCTTTTCCATCCCTTCCTACTTGTGAACCTTATCCTTCGGTAAATACTGCCTGTTTGACCCTTATGGTTGGTTGGCTTTGATTTCTTCCTACAAGAAACAGCTACAAGCTTCAAAGAATCCCAGTTGGAATTTCAGGTCTTCCACTGACTAGCTGTGTACCCCTGGCTAGAGGCTTCCTTCACTGTGTGGGTTTTCTCATCTGTAAAATAAACCTCTTGATAATACTTACTGCATAAGGTGCTGGATGTCACCGAGAGGATTCAAAGTACCAAATATGTGAAATATGTAGACCAGTGCCTGATATATATGAAGAATGTCAATAAAAGTGAATTTTATCAGTCAAAAAAAAAAAGAAAGAAAAGCAAAAGATAAACTTCTTTGTTGGCATACAATCCCCGCACCCCCACCCTGAATGCACTCCACTATGCAACTTTAATTCTGGATTCCTGTTCTTATGGATTATCTCACTGTCTCCTAAAATCATTGTTTCAGAATAAATTTAATCATCAAAAACATATGAGACAATGTTCAAGGCCAGTGTCTCCAGCTTCTGTCCCATGGAGACATGTTGATACTGCAGGCTGAGCTCAACAGTGAGTCCTCAGGAACTAAAGGGAAAAGAGATCTCTCAAAACCACTCTTGCTCTCTCCATCTGATCTCTGAACTGGTATGAAAGGACACAGAATTGAAGTACTGAGAGACTGACATTAGGTAAAAGCTGCCATCCATGGTGACTCTGGTGGATTAGTGGTAGGAGTTGCATTGTCAATTCAAAGGCACACTTTGAATTTACTGCCTCTAAAAATCCCCTGCAGGGTCAGCTATGGTCCAGTTCTGACTTGCCCGTACACAACAACAACAGAAATCCTTGACTGCTTATGGAATATATGGAATTTTCTTAGGATAGAGTATTTTAAGGCTTTCCATTACATTCATGGTACCTGGGAGTTCTTATTTTTTTTAAATTTTTATCCATTTATTGTTGCACATTTTCTTCTTTCCCTCTTTCTACTCCCTCCCCTAGTCCACTCTGTAATGCACCTCTTGTTCCAGATTGTTGCCATACATATAATGCCTAACCATATATTTCTTTCAGACCATTTTCCCCTCCACTGTTTCAATGTAGTTTTACTATTTGAAAATGTTACTGGGATAATTACAGTTTATAAATAAATGTGTAAACATTATGCAAATACGAAAAAATTAACTATTCTTATCATAATCCTAAACTGTTGTGCTAAGTACTTTTTTCTCCTGTGTGAAATAGCTCTGAGTATCCAGTTTGCATAGGCCCAACTGGCTTTTGTGTGAACAAAGGTATGGTAAGAGTTAGAAGTGAGTGCTTGTCTTTCTAGTTCAGGCTCATGTGTATTTTTAGCTTAAATGGGTGATGCATTTTCCCAATTCTTGTGTCATTTTAACCTCCTACCTAGATCACCATGGACAATATACACTATGTGATACACAGCCTAGAGGGGGTGGAACTACATCTAGGCCTATACTCAGCATAGTCACTTTTCAGCAGGTGACTGCCACAATAGGCTCAGATCATCGATTGGGCTAGTAATGTATGTAATAAGTGGTGACTGGCATTATTAACAACAATACTACCACAAATAACCATACCATTACAGAATAACTCTTAAATCTTCTCTAGCGGTCCTGGCCAAACACTAGACGGCACCTCTGCTTTATCATATCCTTGCAATGTGAAAGACAGATAGTGTTGTGGTTTCTGCATTCTTTATTCTTGTACCAAGCCTATAATTTTTTATTTTAATTGATATGATGAAATAATTTCTTATTTTGATGATGTTTATGAGATATTATATCTGAGAAACAGCATTTTAAAGATGATTATGAAGTAAAACTATATTATAGCTTTGGTGTCATTTAAGTTAATCAGATTTTTTCATGGTGATGAAAATAAAGTTATCTATGTTATATTAACACACATTTACCCTTTTTGAATTTGTAATACTAGACTTGAAGATTTTAGTAAAACCATTGACTGTCCACTTTTAATCTTTCACTTTTTTGTGACTTGAGAGAAGGTTTAAAAGCAAATTAATTTTTCATCCAACCACACCTATCCATTTTGTCTGGTAACATTAATTTCAATATGAATAACTGGGTAAATGCCTTTCATCTGCTCCTTTCTGTAAAATGCCTGTCAGATACTATTCTGAAAAGAAAAAAAAAACCCAAAAAACTAACCAACAACAGACTAGGAAGAAGGGTTGGCCATCCACTTCCAAAATAACAGGACTTTGAAAACCCTATGTACAGTAGAGGACAGTTAGACTAGCAGACATGGGACCTGAGGCTGAGATCTCAAATATAGAAACAAAGGAGGAACAGTTGTAAGCAGACACTAGTGATTGGAACGTGAAACATGAGAAGTATAAATGTAGTAAACTGGGCATTATTAAGAAAGAAACAGAACACATAAATACTGACATATTAAGTGTTGGCAAAGTGAGATGACTTGGCATGGGGCATTTTGAATCAAATTCAAAGCAAGTTCAAGCTGAAGTTGAAGAAAATTAAATCCACAGGCATGAAAATTTGATGTTAAGTCTATCATACTTGATTTTAAAAACTATCTCAGAAAAAGGTTTGAGGCCTTGAACACCAAGGAGCGAAGACCAAATGAGCTGTGGGAGGATATAAAGACTATCATACATGAAGAATGCAAAAGGTCTTTATAAAGACAGAGAAGAAGAGACCAAGCTGGATGTCAGATGAGACTCTGAATATTGCACGAGAGCACCGAGAAGCCAATGCAAAGGGAAGAAATTAAGAAATTAAGGAGCTGAACAGAAGATTCTAAAGGGCAGTGAGGGAAGACAACACAAAGTATTATAATGATATGTGCAAAGAGCTGGAGTCAGAAAATCAAAAGAGCTCAGCATTT